TTAATTATGTACCATACTGTTGACGGTAGTGTTGGCTTGTGTATTCATATAAATTTGTCGTTCATCTTGAGGTCAAATTAATTAGTTGCATTGAAATTAAATTCCTTAATGCTTTCTTGTTTGATTTGTTGTTTTTCGTTTATCTAATACATTCAGAAGCACGAGGGTTTCTCAAGATAGTTCCAAAGTCCAACATCTATATTTTCTGTATTTCCATCTGGTATGTAATTTAGAAGCTCTGTTCATTTTGTATTGTTAATTGTTAAGACTAAAAAAACAAAACAAACAGTTTTGTAGTCGCATCATTTTCAACGTCGTAAGTTTTTACATTTAATTAAGTCGTCAGATAACTAAATTCAGTAGCCATTTATCCTTCAGCATTTCCGCTGTATGAACGTACTTTCACATTTCCGTTGTAGCTCGCTATAAATCAGAAACCAATAACGTTAGGGTTGTACAAGTTATATTGTCACTAGCAAACCCTGACCCCCCTCCCACTTTTTTTTTTTTTTTTTTGTTGTTGAAGGAAAGCTTTTTGTGTATACGTGTGTGATTCATGGGGAAGCGTCCCCATAGCGTCTGATGGGAGGAGAAAGGATGTGGAGATCTAAACCGGCTGTTTTTGTGTGCGTTTTTTACTTTAGGAGCAGACTTTTTTTGAATGATAACTGTTCGTAAAACTTGGTACACTGTATCATCGTCTTCATTTCAAAGATATTTCAAGAAGACCCGTGATGCACGATAATATCTCGACTATTATTATAAAATGTAAAATTCGACATAAGGGTGAAATATTGAGAAACCGTTTACTAATTTTAAGTCAAACGCTTTCTTGGGAACATTCGAAGATTAAACAAATAATCCATAAACTCAAGAACACCAACTCAACTAAATGTTTAGACGTTTTAAGCTTTACAAACTAAATACCATTAAAATTAGGTCATGATATCTATTTTAATTTTTTTGTATTTGGTATCCTCAACCTGAACGCGACCTCATGCAGCACATGGCTAAACCACCAAGTCATAGACCCCAAGGTTCATACATAGCAGCTGCCTCTAATGTACAGCTGCTATACAAAGAGTGGACAAATAGTCAGCAGTACCAGCAGCCTGCATGGCTACCCCTAAACGAATAGCGGATATAGTTTTCACTTTTCACAGCTGAAAATGCCCAGCATGTTCAGCGACATGTTGCGAGCTCGAACCTTGGACCCTCCAATACGCAGATCAGTCCAATTGAATATTTAAAGCGCATATTTATGTTTGTTGTTTAAAGTTCTGGCGCAACATCGGTTATATTTACGTTACTTCTACTACAACTTTCAATCTGAGACTTAACTAAGACAATGGTTGATGGAGAAACACAAACATTTTGGAATCTCACGTATTTCATCCCCGAATCGAACAAAACTGATAACTTGGTACAGTTTTTATCTGATCTGCATGTTTAAAAACACATAGCTTTTAATATATCTAGAATATGTTAATTAAAATCCATAAATTATTCATCACCATATAGGGCTTATTTAAACTTTGCTCTCTAATGAGTGAGAAGACAGAGGGTACATATCATGTTCATACATCTAATAACCTAAAGGTTTAGCAATGTATACACGAAAACATGATTTAAATCAAATATGCATTTCATCACATCCGTTAGAAAATAATATCCACACCTTTAAATCAAATTTAAAAATAGAAGAAAAAACACATTAACAAGTATTGTTGTTGTTACACCTCAGCTCGAGCGTATCTTGAGGATTAATATTGTATTATTACACATTTGTTTTATGTAATGTAACGGTATAAAAATGCATCGATTAGTATAAAAACTTGGATTTCGTCTTTCTATATGTCTGTCTGATGATTCTAACAGCCATATAACTAAGAACTAACAAATTTGCAAACGTATTTCTTAGCAGCTGAAAATGTACCTTTTTTGTGATAAAACTTTCTCCAATGCACAGATTTTACTGGGCGTGCATTGGTAGAGATCTGGATTTCGGAGTTGGCGAACCGGGATCGGATTCGTGCGATACCACAAAATATTCCTTTCGCTTTAAGCTCTTGGTGCGTTATAAGAATGACACCCAATCCCTTAGTGTGAATATTGGGTGTTAAGATGATGCTGACTGGCTCCTTATTACTAATCAGTAGTTCAAAATTAGGGACAGCAGATGATAGCCTTAGTAACTTTGTCATAAGTATAAAATTCAAATCAAAGTACACAAAAAACAAGTATGCTAAACATTACGTCACCAGGAACTAATCGTAATGTTTGAAGTGACGTATTGTCAATCTTACTTCTCATTTCAAAACGCACATTTAAATAATGTTCATATGTTCATCATTGTACTCATGATATGGGCAGCAACATGGCGGTAAACCTTTAATCTATTAAGCTATTAATGACTCAAAATCAGATTACTTTATAACTCACGTTATCCTTATGACAGGAATATTGCAGCAAAATCATGAAACTGCAGATGGCTCATTTCTTATATGGAACTATATGACAGACAAATTTCAAAAATAAGAAACAGATGGTTGGTGTTCTATTATGATAGTAATAAAGATAATATTATATTAGATGGTTGGTGTTCCATTATGGTAGTAATAAAGATACTATTATACTAGATGGTTGTTGTTCCATTATGGTAGTAATACATATACCAGATGGTTGGTGTTCCATTATGGTAGTAATAAAGATAATATTTTACTAGATGGTTGGTGTTCCATTATGGTAGTAATAAAGTTTATTACTACCATAATGGAACACCAACCATCTAGTATAATATTATCTTTATTACTACCATAATGGAACACCAACCATCTAGTATAATATTATCCCACCGCCAACTCTTGGGCTACTCTTTTACCAACGAATAGTGGGATTGGCCGTCACATTATAACGCCCCTACGGTTGAAAAGATGAGCATGTTCGGCGACAGGGATTCGAACCTGCGACCTTCGGATTGCGAGTCGAGCGTCTTAACAAGCCATAGCAGGCCAATCTAATATAATATCATATTTATTTCTGCCATAATGGAACACCAATCATCTAGTATAATATTATCTGGTGATGACTAGCTGCCTTCCCTCTAGTCTTGCACTGCTAAATTAGGGACGGCTAGCGCAGATAGCCCTCGTGTAGCTTTGCGCGAAATTCAAAACAAACAAACAAACAAACCTTTCTTACAGGTGTTGCCAAACACCGCATATACGAAATATATAGCCCAGCATGGCCAGGTGGTTAGGGCGCTTGACTCGTAATCTGAGAGTCGTGGGTTCGAATCCCCGTCCCACCAAACACGCCCGCTATTTTAGTCGTGGGGCGTTATAGTGTGACGGTCAATCCCACTATTCGTTGGTAAAAGAGTAGCCCAAGAGTTGGCGGTGGGTGGCGATGATTAGCTACCCTCCCTCTAGCATTCTACTGCTAAATTAAGGACGACTACAGATAACGTTTTTGTATAGCTTTGCGCGAAATTCACACCAAACGAAATATGTACATATAATTAGTCTATATCTAATATCATAGATAGGTCAAGGATTTTAATAACATGAAAAACAAAATATGTTCCATAGTCATATTACAATAAGGTATATTATTCTATGGTTATCCTTCATTCATTCCTTGCATCTATAAAATGTGATATAAGTACTAATTTATATACAAAATAAAAAGGAAAATGTGAAATTACAGAGAGATTCTAATTCTAATAAAATCGGTGCAAATGATAACCTCAAAACATGTTTATCAGTAATACGCAACGAAGGTTTTCGCCATTCGTTTATGCCAAATGATATAAGACGATATCATAATGCTTGATTGGCAGCGCTAAGTAACTAAGTCCGCTAATACAGGATATTTGTTAACTGCAACTATTAAACTGTATGTCTTATTTATAGAAGAAATAATAGATGTTCAGTTATTACTCGTTTTGTTTATTGAAACACGTACGTGTAGTTTTGGTAATAATTTATCTTGTTGTTTACAGTAATGTTTAAACTTCAAGTAAAGTCTGACTTAAACGTTCCAATTTTAGCTTAAAGCAAATCATTAATTAGGAAACTTAACATAATATGTAATATACAGAATACTTATTGAATGTTGTATTTGAATTTAATGAAAATTAATTAGGGCTATAATTATAATTATCAGCGTAATGAGAATTATGACCTGATTTTTACATTGAATTCAAATACAAAACTAAGCTTCTTTTTTTTTTATTTTCAAAATTTGTTCCTTATTTCCATCATTTTCCCCAAAAGTATAAACTATTTTTGAGCTTTTCGGGAAATAGAATATTCACACCACTATCATTATTCATTATTGATTAATTATACCGCAATTGTGAAGCAATAACCTACGTACGCTTTATTACGTAATGTAAAATGTATTCTTTAAGTATGTAATAACTTGGCTACAAATATCTATTAATTATTATTAACTATTATTATCAATCAGCAGCTGTTGTTAATCCAGGAAAACTGTTTAACGTTCATAGTGTTCAATTTACTACTAAAACAGCGTGTGTTTAAGTGCACTTGCGGTTCGTTTAAAAGCTCCACCTGATAGTAGGCACACATACGTTTACAGATTTTTCTATTTACCATACGTGGATTACAAATCGTGCATTTTCAGTTTGTCAAATGAACTATTTACTGTTTTAATAAAATGAATATTTTTAGAACTCGTTAGAACAACGGTTAAATTTTATGAATCTCGGTTCTGATTAAACTGAAACTTTTCATGCTTTGATTAGTTTTAATTAATAGGTGAAACTTCCAACTTTTAGTTTCATTTGTTAATTACTTTCATGTAATTTCGTTTTTATTATGAAAGATAGATATAAGAGAAAAACTTTAGAAAATACAAATGTGTCATTGATGATATTACGTTGCTGTTGTTTTTTCTGCTCTTCAGTGTCAAAAAGTTGGCGTAGCAAAATCTATTCTAAAATTAACGTCACAGTTGCTCTAGCCGATACTCACAGCGAAAGTTCGGTCGTTAAAACGGTAGTAACTGATTCCTTTGAAAAAGTATGTTCGATCATTTTTCCACTGGAAGACAGCATCAATATCATTCGGGATACCCTCCCAGTTACTAATAGGCCTAGGATATCGATCACTAACTGGTGGGTCGCTACGACTTTCAAACCTCCAATATTTATCACCTGCATGATAAAAATTAGCCCTATATTTATCAAAATACTTCATAAGATAAATATAATGGTAAAACAAATAAAGAATTATTTTGAAAAATCAACAATAATGGTCAAAATCATAAAGGTTAATGATCTTTACCCTCAATTACATGATCAGTAAGAACATCATTAGAAGTCATTAAAACACATATAAGTTCAAATCAAATGTACCAAACACTATCAGTAAAATTAATAAAAACTTGGTAATAGTAAAAGCAACTTACTAGAAGCTTCTTTTAAAATTGATCTCAGAAGCTATTAGTAAATTGTTTTAACTTTTATACAAAGATGTTGTCGTTTGTTGAGGACCATTTAATAATAATTTGAGCAATTGAAATGATACTAATAACAATCCCCAGTGGTTCAGCGGTAAGTCTGAAGGGTTATAATGCTATAATATCACTTTCAATGCTCGTGGTGGAAACAGCTTAACAACAAACAAGCATACAGAAATTTTAAGAAAACCAACTTAAGACCCGCGGCCATGAAAAAGTAGGATATTTTACTAAAACTTTGGCCGAAAAAAAGTATGAAACATATAATCGAAAAAGCACAAAAAGCGCAATAGTAATTATAAGTATAACAGTTTAGCTACATTAGTTGAGCTGATTTCAACACAACTTTCAGATTTTCAGTCGGATACCAGGAAGCATGAAAACAGTAGTAACTGGTACAGTATGTGATGAACACAAAAAACGAAAGAAAGGAACATGCCATATTTGTCATGTTTGTCGTCTTTGTGATCCATTACCCACATACACTGTACATACGATGCATATTAACTACAATAAAAGTAGTCATTTGTCAAATCCTAGGCGAAAAAGAACACGGCGAAGTATACTTAGGGGAAAAACAAGCAACGTTTGGCTGATAACATGGTATATCAGATGAACAATGCATGAATCTGTGTCAAATAACGATATCTTCACAAGGATCTTCAATATAATGAAGATAGATGTAGCCCCTCTGGTAGGTTTTCCGAAGGATGGAATTCAGTACGAATCTATTGCTGAATAAGGTCAGAGCAGACGAAGAGCAAAACAACTATGTGAATTGATCTGTGGCAATCTGTTTTTAACTGTTTGTCCATCAAATGCACAACAATAAAGGTCATTTACAAGGGATTGGCGTCGCTAAGAATACAGAATGATTTGAACAAGGAGAAAGTAGCAAAGAAATTGTCATCTTTATCATTTTTTTGGAAAATGCCAAATTTACCTTGTCGCTCAGAGTAGCCTCTTCTTATAATCAATATCCTTGTAGGCAGCTCTTGTTTGATGAATTAATGTAGCTAGATGATGCTACACCTGCGCGAGTTACAACTAAAAAATAAATAAAAACACGAACAAGATGAAATTTTCATCACTTCGGAAACTTATTTGAAAATTCTAGATGGTCAAGATATTCCAAAGCATGATTATGCTTTTCGTTTTGATCCTGGAAAATTGGTTACAGCCACATCATTCTGACAAGAACGTTTATTGTTAAAACCTGGAAGTACAAGGGATGTTAATATTGCAGGATATTTGTTTCGGAGCAAGGGGGACAGACTGTTGATTCCTTACTTCATGCATACCAAAATGCAGTTTATAAAACTGAACAAGTTTGTCGGCAAACCTTTCGAGATATGACAAAGCTTTTGACGAAACGTAGCAAGAGTGAAGCATGACTTTCAAAATACTACACCAGTGTTAGAGATGCATCAAATGTCTTCGAGAAATGATGAAAAGGACATTGGCTCTATAGTACAGTAATCAAAAAGTAAAAACCCTCATCAAGACGCGTGTGAAGGACTTGTTACAGAAAAGGGAAAAATTGCAACAATTTGATATGTGGGAATATTCTCATCGCCACATCCAGATATCAGACAATGATTGTATTCATTGTTGTATGTATGCACTTGGTCAAACTTGCAATGATCACACTCACATTTGATCATTTTGTAGTACATGTTCACAACCGTTTAAATTGTTTAGAGATTTAATGAGACCCTTTCTCAACAATGTATCTTTGCATTCATGGGATTCATCAAAGTATGAAGCACAGTCCATGATTGAATCAATGTCTGAATTTGATAGAGTGATTCGCAATTATCTGTCACATCGATTACAGGCTAAAGTACAGTTCCAGGCTGTTCATAAAATTAAAGAATCATTGAAACACAATGATTCAATAACCCTTGTTGTCATTGATTACAAGCAAAAATTACTGCCAATGAAATATAGGGAAGGACAAGTTGTATATTTTGGAAAAAAGGAGATGAGTTTTCTCGAATCAATTGAGTTTTGTTTTGGATATGAGTACAGTGTTGTTGATTACATAAAGTGTGAATATTTCGGCCAAGTTGCTGGTGCGATATCAATTCTTGTGCGTGATGTACGAAGAAGACATCCGAATGCCAATAAAATTGTGATACAAAGTGACAACACTACGTGTTTTGCATCACAATAATTAGTTCCATATATTTATCAATTAAATCAGAAACTTAGAACAGACACAAACCCAGTAATAATTTCTAAATGGATATTTACAGAAGTACAGACTGGTCGTGGCCGCTTAGATACACATTTTTCTTACCCCAACGTGACATTCAAGTCATTTGTAGAGGATAATAATGATATAACAACAGAGGAAAACATATTTAAAGCCCTAAAATTTCGTGTTGGTGTCGCAGGAACAACAGCTGTCCTTTTCGATACATGCAACCAGGATCTGCTCTATAAAAAAAAAAAGTTGAAGACAAAGACAGTTGAAAGTAGATCGGCCAAAGAAATAAACTGGCAAGAAAAGTGGTACACGTTATTGCAAACTCTGGAATTTATTCCACACAGTAAAATTATGGTGCATTTGAAAAAGAATCTCGATCTCAATATCAAGGAATCATTCACTTCACAAAAAAGTCTCTCTTTACAAAAGAGTCTGCTGCACAAAATGGTAATGATGATGATGATGATAATGCTGCTGAGCAAGCACGTTCTCTATCTTCTAAAGCAGCCGCATATTCTTCAGCATTAAGAAGAAGTGGTATTGACACGACGAGAATTCCAGACGTATCAGGTGAGATGAATTTGGCCCCTTCTTCATTGGTTTGTAGTTGCCCAAAGTATCTTGGAAATAATCCTACTAGACTAACACGCGATTATCTTTCGAAATTGTATGCCTTATAACAAAACTCGAAAAGTTTCAGCAGGAAAACTCATAAGATTTGAGTGGATAGTATAATTTCTGCTGATTGGTGTGCCCAATTAAATGCTACTGTACCAAATATTAAGGCATTTTTCCAGGTGATACCAGAAAAAATGAAAGATATGCTGAATTTCTCTATGACGGACATGTCATTGGTAGAGCTAATAGATGAAGCAGTTTATGAGGGTAAGGAGTAAATCATACAACAAATTCGACAATAGGATGCTCCTTCATTGTTTGATGTTGAGAATGATGATTAAAATATATTTTATTGATAAATTTTAGTAACTTTTGACAAAAAATCTTCATAACTTTCGAAAACAACAAAATAAAAAATTTATTGCATTTTCTGAATCCTAAAACAAAACTGTAAAAACTGCGTTATTTGCTATATAAACTACAGTGGTAAACATATAAAGGCGCGGCCGTATCAGGACCAAGTTTTTCGCCATCTTTTCCACCTGTTGAATGGCCTGGGAATCTTTATCATACGACTATGACTTCTTTAGTTCCAACTATGATCTTCTTCTTAATCAAGTTACCAAATCATGGAGTGGCAGTTTGTTAACGGTGTGTGTCTGTAGTAAAAATTTCGTTGAAAACTGATGTATAAGAAGTGTGGTTGAAAAGTAGTAGTACTAGTATCCACTAGGCCTATGTTGTATTGATATAAGTAGTTTTTCTATATTTACCAAGTGTTAAAGAAAAAGTTCACCCGCAAATGATCACCATGAAATGAGACATCACATAGCACAAATGTAAGAGTTAAAATAGCTGAGAAAATTCAGCTAGTGACTGTGTATAATATAAATCCACCAAAGACTTAGCCTTCGATCGGTTCTGAAAGATGAACTCCAACAGCAGGGAAATAAATTATTTTCGTAAAATCTCAACTCTCTTACCCTTGAAAAAATACGTTTTCCCATTACCGCTCCACACGAAAACGGCATCAATATTGTCAGGTATACCCTCGAAACCAACGCTAATTTGTTTAGGGTAGCCAGAATTCATTTGTTTATTTCGGAACCGCCAATATTTGTCACCCTGAAAATATATTAAAAGTTTAATTAAACTAACCATGTTTTAGGGCAAAGAAAACTTTCTTTTTAAATATGTTGCTAATTTATCTCATGTGAAATAAATACCAAGAATGCTAGATATAAAAAAGTATTTCTTTTAAATATTCCCTTTCATTATATAATATAAGTTATTTTACAACCAACTAACACACACTGGTAAATGTTTTAAAGATGCAAACAATGACTCCATAAAAAAAAATGTCTTATTGAAACACGCCATTAACAACTGTATGTTTATCTCGGTGTTCTAATGCTTTTTTTTTGCTTTTTTACATTTCCGATTGCTCAAAATTCTAAAAATCAAATAAATTGTATATGAAATCTGCATAATCTTTTATTTGGTCTCCGTAACTTTAAAATGACTAATACACGTATTTTACCTACCTTGAAAAAGAAAGTTTTTCCATCAGACCATGTCAAAGCACCATCCACATAACCAGGTAGACCACCCCAATCTTCGGAAATTCGTCGTGGATAACCATCTGCAATCTCATCGTCTTTAATTTGCCAATAAAATTCATCTGTGAAAAAAGATATGTTTAATATTTTAAGCATCTTCTCTCATTTATGAAGTTCACAAAAAAGGTGATACAAGTTACCTTTGTAGCAACACTACTACTGAAAAAACACGTGTGTAAAGACATCATCGAAGGACCTCAATTATCAATAAAAAGTTTCCATTTTTCTTCAAACATTTTATTAAACATTCATCTGAGCTCTAAAGATGCGAATTACCCATCAGACTTTTAAACATATTTTATAAATTGTTTATGCATCAAATACTCAGAGCTCCGTGACCGCGTTAATAACAGTTTCGCTAATAAACTATGAGTCATAAAATATATACAAATGTAACCAATATTGTAATAACTCGCACTAACTACTGATTAGTCTTCTATGTATTTTGTATAGGAAATCAGTGATTTAAACTAATGTTTGGTCAGTTCCTTACATTATACATTAAATTACAAAAATAAAAGTCCTCGCTCTTGAATTCAAATTTAAGACTGCCATTTTGACGATTATTGACTGATCCTTAAAGTTATCCACAGATGGATCCATTCAGACAGCATTTCTAGTGTGGAGGAAATATTTCATTGATAATCTGTTGCGATGAACATAAGGAACATTGGAAATTTCAAATTTTCATTCATAGGATTTTATCACATGGGTAAAACTATTCTGAAACCCTCTCATCTTTCTACCATGATCATACTTTTGAAATTAACGACAATGAAATATTTTTGAAACGATCATCAGTAGTTAAGGGTAAAAAGAAAATGATAATAGTAAACGAATGTTTTATTACATTTGTGATGTGCACAGCTCATTGACTAAATCTGTATTCTTATTTTTTAATATTGATATATGTGCTATCTATGTAAAGTGTTGTATGAACGACATAGTATTAAGTAACACTCGTACCAACTATATTTACTGAAAGTTTTTGTATCGTAGTATTAAGTAGGCTTAATAAAGTGACACGTCGCCGCAAGTGTACCATGCTACTGTATTTGGATCATGAAAAATGTCCTGACCATGCAATGCTGCCACGAGTCGACTTATGGCTGGAGTAGTGTATAAGATAAACATTCGTAGAGAGAGGTTTTTAAAAGGTGTAAAACTAAAGAACACAATGTCTTGAAGAATTGAGCCTTTAATGGTTCTCCATGTAGTAGAAGAACTTGCACAGTGGAGCCTTTAGGGTAGCAACGATCTCTGAAACAGTACACAAACTAATCCGGAGCAAACATCGTATTCACAAATGACATTCTCCATCCCAAGAAGCCACTACGATGTAGATTCTGAAACAGTACAAAAACTAATCCGGAGCAAACATCGTATTCACAAATGACATTCTCCAATCCAAGAAGCCACTACGATGTAGATTCTGAAACAGTACACAAACTAATCCGGAGCAAATATCGTATTCACAAATGGCATTCTCCAACCCAAGAAGCCACTACGATGTAGATTCTGAAACAGTACACAAACTAATCCGGAGCAAATATCGTATTCACAAATG